TGGATGTTTGGTTGGTTGAATGTTTGGTTGGATGCTTGGTTGGATGTCTGGTTGGTTGAATGTTTGGTTGGATGCTTGGTTGGTTGAATGTTTGGTTGGATGTTTGATTGGATGTTCGGTTGGTTGGATGTTTGGTTGGATGTTTGGATGGTTGGATGTTTGGTTGGATGTTTGGTTGGTTGAATGTTTGGTTGGATGCTTGGTTGGATGTCTGGTTGGTTGAATGTTTGGTTGGATGCTTGGTTGGTTGAATGTTTGGTTGGATGTTTGATTGGATGTTCGGTTGGTTGGATGTTTGGTTGGTTGGTTGGATGTTTGGTTGGTTGGATGTTTGGATGGTTGGATGTTTGGTTGGATGTTTGGTTGTTTGGATGTTTGGTTGGTTGGATGTTTGGTTGGATGTTTGGTTGGTTGGATGTTTGGTTGGATGCTTGGTTGGTTGGATGTTTGGTTGGATGCTTGGTTGGATGTTTGGTTGGATGTTTGGTTGAATGGTTGGTTGGATGTTTGGTTGGATGTTTGGTTGGATGTTTGGCTGGTTGGATGTTTGGTTGGTTGGATGTTTGGTTGGTTGGATGTTTGGTTGGTTGGATGTTTGGTTGGATGTTTGGTTGGTTGGTTGGATGTTTGGTTGGATGTTTGGCTGGTTGGATGTTTGGTTGGTTGGATGTTTGGTTGGATGGATGTTTGGTTGGTTGGATGTTTGGTTGGATGCTTGGTTGGATGTTTGGTTGGATGCTTGGTTGGTTGGATGTTTGGTTGGATGCTTGGTTGGATGTTTGGTTGGTTGGTTGGATGTTTGGTTGGATGTTTGGCTGGTTGGATGTTTGGTTGGTTGGATGTTTGGTTGGATGGATGTTTGGTTGGTTGGATGTTTGGTTGGATGCTTGGTTGGATGTTTGGTTGGATGCTTGGTTGGTTGGATGTTTGGTTGGATGCTTGGTTGGTTGGATGTTTGGTTGGATGCTTGGTTGGATGTTTAGTTGGATGTTTGGTTGGTTGGATGTTTGGTTGGATGTTTGGTTGGATGCTTGGTTGGATGTTTGGTTGGTTGGATGTTTGGTTGGATGCTTGGTTGGATGTTTGGTTGGCTGTTTGGTTGGTTGGATGTTTGGTTGGTTGGATGTTTGGTTGGATGCTTGGTTGGATGTTTGGTTGGTTGGATGTTTGGTTGGATGGTTGGTTGGATGTTTGGTTGGATGCTTGGTTGGATGTTTGGTTGGTTGGATGTTTGGTTGGATGTTTGGTTGGCTGTTTGGTTGGTTGGATGGCCGGTTGGATGTTTGGTTGGTTGGATGTTTGGTTGGTTGGATGTTTGGTTGGCTGTTTGGTTGGTTGGATGTTTGGTTGGATGTTTGGTTGGTTGGATGTTTGGTTGGATGCTTGGTTGGATGGCCGGTTGGATGGTTACCATGGAGGAGATGCCCTCCTCGCCCTCCTTGCTGTTCTTGGGCGGCTTCAGGAGGTTCTGCAGAACTTTGTTGTGTCTCGCCAGCTGCCAATCAGAACCCAGCATCAGAACAAACATCTGGTCCAATAGAATCGCATCAGAGGAGTCCGGCAGCCAATCGGGAGGCTGCGTGTCGTCACCTGCTGGGCCAGGATGTAGATGTTGTGTCCCACCTCCCGCGGCGACACCTCCACCTCCTCCTGCCCCTCCACCTGCTCCTCCTCCTCACACTCGCTGTCCTGCTGGTACGCCTTCTTGATCACCTCCACCTGCAGACACGCAGCGTGAGGCCGGGCCAGAACCGGGCCGGACCGGGCCAGAACCGGGCCAGAACCATCCCGGTCCAGACCGGGCCAGAACCGGGCCAGAACCGGGCCGGACCGGGCCAGAACCGTCCCGGACCAGACCGGGCCAGAACCAGGCTGGAACCGGGCCGGACCGGCCAGAACCGTCCCGGACCAGACCGGGCCAGAACCGGGCCGGGCCAACTCAGACCGGGCCGGAACCGGGCCAGAACCGGGCCGGAACCCGGACCGCCCTCACCAGCTCCCTCGGTCGCAGGTTGAACAGGATCCTCTCGGCGTTCTCGTTGTCATACGACTCTCCATCAGCCAGCAGCAGCTTGGAGGCGTTGTCCTGGCAACAGAAACAGAAACATCTGCAGCGTTCAGCCAATCAGAGCTGCTCGCTGCTGCCCCCTGCAGGCCAACAGCTGTAATGACAAGACTTTGAAAGCGTCTCATAAAATCCATCAGAACCAAAGAGGAAAAGAATCAGAACTGAAATCCAAGAGAAATGAAAAGATGTGACAGAAAACAAAGATTTCCAGCCAATGCTGTTGTTTTATAATACAGTAAAACTTAATCAACATTAATTGTTTGACTGAAACATTAATTAATTAGCTCATCATAAGGAGGAAGCTGAAATAAATCCTGTATTACAGCAAGTCCAAGTTATTTTAGTAAATTAGTGCCAAACATAAGTTACAACTTTATAATAAATATGTTCAAACTGAATGTGACTCCAGTAAATGACATAAATTATTTTAAACATTTTATCAAGTAATTGTGTATTTTATGTTTAGATCACATTTATTATTTTCTGAAAATATTTTTTTCTTTGTTTCCTTTTCCTCCATATGGAGGACAAAACCTGCCGAAATAAGTTGGAAAGTTTTCACTTTTTCTGTTTGGATGCACATCAATTATTTTACCAAGCCATTTATTTATTTCTATATTTATTGCCAGTTTTGGCAGGGTCAGACCTCCGTACATGCACATGTAAACGTCTCAGGTGTTTTATAGTTAAAACCTACAGATTGTCATATTTTTTAAACAGGATATTTCTAAAAGTTTCTGAAACCGATCAGATCAGATGTTAACGTAGATGAATATTGATTTGTGTCACCGCCGACCCGTTCTGGTGAGAGCAAGCCGACCCTGTACCTTCAGCTGCAGAACCATCTCCACCCCGGTACCGACAGAGCGGGCTGATGTCGTTCAGGATCAGCGCCGTGATGATGTCGATGCCGTTGGACTCGTGAGTCACGATGCACGTCTGAAAAATACACAATCCACGACGGGGTCAGTTTTCCTGCTGGACTCCGGGGTCTGGAGTCCAGGATCTGGACTGGACCGGGCCAGAACCGGGCCAGACTCTGAGATCTGGAGTCCTGGACTGACCGGACGCTCCCAGTGAAAAGGCTGTTGTGTGTGGGACCCGGTCCCTAAAGGCCGTGGAAGCCAAAGAAAACCTGAAATGTGTTGGCCAGGCGTTGGAGCCCATGTAGCCGGCTAACCGTTAGCTTCTGGACCGACTGTCTAAAACACAAGGATTGAACTTTGGGTCCGACCGAGTGTTGGAGCACCTGGTTCTCCTGGCAGGGGCCCTGGCAGTACTCTGTGAGCGTCTCCAGGGTCTGGATGATCAGGTGGACGTTTGATTCGTTGATGTAGAGGCCCAGCAGGCCCAGTCCGCCGGTGGTGCTTCCACACATGATGTCCAGAACTGCAGCGTCTCACACACCAGGTTGTAGTTGGTTTTATTGTTCTGGCAACGCAGGAAGTTCTGGGAACACAAAAATCACCGAGACATAATCCGGCTCGTCTCTGACCCTGCGATTCTTTTAACAACCACCAGGTGGTGCCGTGACGGCCCGACTGGGAGGCAGCTGATCATCTGGACCTTCAGTAACTGGAAACAGTCCAGAACTTCTTGTTTGATGTGACCCAACCAGACCAGCTGGAGAACCAACCGGACCTGAGCGGCAGGTTGAACCCGACCCAGGCTGGAATCAGGACCAACCTGTTGATCCGGTTCTTATTAGTTAACAAGAACCAGCAACAGATTCCTGCAGCTTGATGATAGTCAGCTTCACTATTGGGACGAGATACTAACTGGTGAACTGGTCTGGTTTGTTAACTAACCGGGAATAGGCTAGTTAGCGCTGGTTGTTAGCGACAGCTGGCTAGTTAGTGCTGGTTGTTAGCGACAGTTGGCTAGTTAGCGCTGGTTGTTAGCGACAGTTGGCTAGTTAGCGCAGGTTGTTAGCCACAGTTGGCTATTTAGCGCAGGTTGTTAGCCACAGTTGGCTAGTTAGCGCTGGTTGTTAGCCACAGTTGGCTATTTAGCGCAGGTTGTTAGCCACAGTTGGCTAGTTAGTGCTGGTTGTTAGCGACAGTTGGCTAGTTAGCGCTGGTTGTTAGCGACAATTGGCTAGTTAGTGCTGGTTGTTAGCTACAGCTGGCTAGTTTAGCGCTGGTTGTTAGCCACAGTTGGCCAGTTAGCGCTGGTTGTTAGCCACAGTTGGCTAGGTATCGCTGGTTGTTAGCGACAATTGGCTAGTTAGTGCTGGTTGTTAGCTACAGTTGGCTAGTTAGCGCTGGTTGTTAGCCACAGTCGGCCAGTTAGCGCTGGTTGTTAGCCACAGTTGGCTAGTTAGCGCTGGTTGTTAGCCACAGTCGGCTAGTTAGCGCTGGTTGTTAGCCACAGTCGGCCAGTTAGCGCTGGTTGTTAGCCACAGTTTGGCTAGTTAGCGCTGGTTGTTAGCCACAGTTGGCTATTTAGCGCAGGTTGTTAGCCACAGTTGGCTAGTTAGTGCTGGTTGTTAGCCACAGTTGGCTAGGTAGCGCTGGTTGTTAGCGACAATTGGCTAGTTAGTGCTGGTTGTTAGCTACAGCTGGCTAGTTAGCGCTGGTTGTTAGCCACAGTTGGCCAGTTAGCGCTGGTTGTTAGCCACAGTTGGCTAGGTAGCGCTGGTTGTTAGCGACAATTGGCTAGTTAGTGCTGGTTGTTAGCTACAGTTGGCTAGTTAGCGCTGGTTGTTAGCCACAGTCGTTTAGCGCTGGTTGTTAGCCACAGTTGGCTAGTTAGCGCTGGTTGTTAGCCACAGTCGGCTAGTTAGCGCTGGTTGTTAGCCACAGTCGGCCAGTTAGCGCTGGTTGTTAGCCACAGTTGGCTAGTTAGCGCTGGTTGTTAGCCACAGTCGGCTAGTTAGCGCTGGTTGTTAGCCACAGTCGGCCAGTTAGCGCTGGTTGTTAGCCACAGTTGGCTAGTTAGCGCTGGTTGTTAGCCACAGTCGGCTAGTTAGCGCTGGTTGTTAGCCACAGTCGGCCAGTTAGCGCTGGTTGTTAGCCACAGTTGGCTAGTTAGCGCTGACTGACCTGCAGGTTGTAGTTGTGGTTCTCACACAGCAGCTGCAGGAACCTCAGGATGGGCTTCATGATGGTGACCGCTGGTCCCATCTCATCTCCGCCTCCCGCTGCTCTGCCTGCTGGGTGGACATGGCGGCTGTTACCGGGGCGATGCTTTGACCGTGGACCATCAGAGGAAGTCCTCCTGAAGCAGGGAGAGCCGGTGAGGTGGAACCACGCTTCCACAACATCCATCAGTAACTGAACCCTCTTCTACCAGCACTGATCTGACCTCTGACCTCAAACTATCACAGGTAGTTTCAACCCGCTCACCGGCCTCCAGCTCCTTCTCGTTGGCCTTGTGCGTCATTTCACCAACGTTTACAGAAACCGTCGCCTTAATGTCCATCTGAGCTTCTTTCATCCGGTCATCAAGAACCTTGAAGAACTTCTCCGACTTGTTGTCGCCCATCATCAGTTTGTAGAAGGAGTTCTGCAGACAAACAGGAGTTTTTATCCGTTTCGTTGATTTCTGCGGCCGTCTGGACCGGTGAACTCAGGTGTGCTACCTGGATCTCCGTGTTGCCTCCCTCCAGCAGACAGATGGCCAGCTGGATGCTCTCCAGGAAGATCTTGTCGTTCTTGGAGCTCATCACCAGGTCGGTGAACAGCTTCGTTCCTCCTTCCCGGTCCAGACGGCACTGGATGGCCGCCACCGCTGCCCAGTCGCGCTCCTGTTTCGCCACCTGAACCACCAACACATCCTGAAGTGACTCAGTCTGAGGAGAACTTTGGTTTCACCCGTTTTTCTCCCAGAATGGGTCAACGTTAAAACGTCTAATTTGTTCTTGCTGAGGCCTTTTAAAAGGCTTTTATTTTGAAGGAGCAACAGGCAGCGTTAGCATCCCACTAGCAGCAGCTCCCAGTCGTACCTGCGGCTCCCAGGTCAGCCAGGTCGTTCTTCTGGTTGCCCTTCCTGTTGGAGAACAGGTAGTTCTGCAGCAGAACCTTACGCAGCAGCATTCCCTGAATCCATCCGGTCAGAACCAAACACAGAGCATTTAGTGTCATTTTAACCAGTGGATATTCACAGAGACTGAGCCTCAGGTTGACCTCTGACCTTGTCATCAAAGTCCAGGGTCCTGATGAGCATATGCTGCAGCGTCTTCAGCACTTTGATGCACAGCTTCTCCTCTGAGGTCATCAGCGCCTTGGTGTGCTGGATCAGCCTGCAGAGCAGACACGGCAGTGAACACCATTTCCCAGCATGCCTCTGGCAGCGGCCGCTCAGACCCGCCCACCTACTTGGAGATGAAGCCGCCGGACTCGCAGCGCTGCCGCGCGTCGCTTCCCTCCAGGAACAGCAGCTCCGGCTGGTGCAGGACGTCCACCAGCACCGACAGCTCCGCGTTGACCAGCGGCTTCAGACGCTCCTCCAGCGTGTTGATGATGTCCTGGAGGCGAGACGGGGAGGGCGAGACGGGGAGGGCGAGACGGGGAGGGTGAGACGGGGAGGGCGAGACGGGGAGGGCGAGACGGGGAGGGTGAGACGGGGAGGGCGAGACGGGGAGGGCGAGATGGAGACATTAGAGAAGCCGCGTGCTGCAGCGTGCTGCAGCAGCGCGGCGGCGTACCTGCAGTTTCTCAATGATGTTCTTGTAGTCGAAGGGGACGGGCCTGGCGCTGCGGGTCGGCGTCTTGTAGGCGGAGCGGTTCAGGGTGTTCGTGGCCAAGCTGGACAACACGTTGTTGATCATGGCCTCCAGCTCCAGAGGGAGGGAGATGGAGCGGTTCTTAGCTGGAGACGCCAAGAAGGAAACAGAAAACTGTTTCTAGGCCTTAAAGACATTTTGTGTCTCCTGGAGCGAAGACATATTTTCACTGTGATGGAGAAACAGGCTTATTGGTTTGGACAGCAGGTGAGTCAGCAGTAGAGTAGAAGTAAGCAATACTGCCACCTGCAGGTGGGAGTCAACATTAAAACCTGATTGTTTTTCATCATTTTTGAGGAGAAAAAAAATGCAGGAATGTGTCAATTTTTCATGAATTTGAACATTTCTTCAGAACGAACTCTGGAATCACGTCAATATTTCTCTGAAACGTCTAAAGGCCTCCAGTCTGAATGTGAAGCTGCCGAGTCCGAGGATTTCAGGAAAACAAACCCAGCAGGTTTGTCTCCTGGTGTAGCGGTGAGGTCTGAGGTGGGCGGGGCTTAGAGCGCTACGGTGGGCGGGGCTTAGTGTTACCTGTCAGCGACAGCGTCTTGATGCAGGCCTCCACCTGACCGCGGTGCAGCGGCAGCAGCCAGGGACAATCCAGCAGCCTGACGGACGACTGCAGCAGCTGGACCACGATGGTGTGATGAGTCTGACGGAGAGAAGAAGAAACGTCTCAACCGGCCAGGTCCGGCCCGGCCTGGTCCGGCCGGGTCCAGCCAAGTCCGGCCCGCTCCGAGTCGCCCCACCTGCAGAGACGTGCTGTTCTCAGAGAACGGAGAGCTGAAGAAGGCGGTGATGGTGTCAAAAACCACGTTGATGATGTATTTCTCCAGAACCGGGTCGGTGAGTCGTTTCTCGCGCTTGTTGCAAACCTGCAGAACAAGAAACAATTTAAAAACCGGAGAATCAAACAAGAACCTGATCATTATGGAATATCATAAACAATATTTTCTTTTTTTATTGTTGTTTTGGTCAAAATAAATATGAAACATCAGATTTTTTATTTATTCTAAAATAAAAAATGAATGAATCTATAAATTTATGAAAAATCCCTCAATACTTTTAAAGAAAATATAAAAGAGATAAATAAATAAATACAAGATAATTTTAGCCAACAAAAATAAACTAAAACTAGTTTTTAAATAAATGAGAAACAAAAAATTTAGTTTCATAAAATGTTGAAAATGTTTTTTTGGTGCAAAATAAATAAAATGTTCAAGACCAAAATATCGTAAAATCTCTGAGCTCATTTTCTAACGAGGAACTTTGTTCATTTAGTGTTTTCATTTGGAGACTCCATGCCCCACTGCCCCGGTTCTGCCCTGGTTCTGCCCCACTGCCCCGGTTCTGCCCTGGTTCTGCCCTGGTTCTGCCCCACTGCCCTGGTTCTGCCCCACTGCCCCGGTTCTGCCCTGGTTCTGCCCCACTGCCCCGGTTCTGCCCTGGTTCTGCCCCACTGCCCTGGTTCTGCCCTGGTTCTGCCCCACTGCCCCGGTTCTGCCCTGGTTCTGCCCCACTGCCCCGGTTCTGCCCTGGTTTCCCTCCTGGGTTCTTCCCCACTGCCCTGGTTCTGCACTGGTTCTGCCCCACTGCCCCGGTTCTGCCCTGGTTCTGCCCTGGTTTCCCTCCTGGTTCTGCCCCACTGCCCTGGTTCTGCCCCAGTTTCTGGTTCTGCCCTGTTCTGCCCGGTTTCGTACCCGCGCCATGTCCACGGTGAAATCCTCAAACAGCTTCCAGATGTGGTTGGACGTGTAGATTTCTTTCATCTCCACCTCGGTGTCGACGTAGCAGTGGTTCACAAAGTTCACGTAGGCGATTTTCACCTGCAGACAGTCACAGGTGAGACCCAGAACCGGGAACCGGACCCGGACCGATCCCGACCCGGTCACCTCGGTGATGCAGTCCTCGTGCGTAACGACCCGGACCACGTCCTCCAGCGGCAGCAGCGACGTGCATTTGATCTCGGTGTAAACGTTCTTGCCCTCGGCGCAGGCGGCCAGCAGCTCCACCAGAGAGATGTGGTACCTGCTCAGGAAGCAGAACCGGGTCAGAAGGTTCTGGAGGCTCTCACAGCTCTGGGTCGGCGGTTGGAACCGAAGGAACGGCTCGACAACACGTCAACCTCAGAGAGAAACACAAACCTATCAGGATCCTTCATCTGCAACAAAACAACTGGACTGGAAGTCTCATCTGAACATGTCTGAGAAAATATTGATAATAAGGATGATAATAATAATAATAATAATAATAACGATGATAATAATATTAATAATGATAATAATGATTATGATAATGATAATAAATAATAATTATGATAATAAATAATGATAATAATAATAAAATAATATGATAATAATGATGATAATAATGATTATGATAATGATAATAATAATAATAAAATAATAATTATGATAATAATGATAATGATAATAAAATAATATGATAATAATAATAATGATGATAACAATATTAATAATGATAATGATAACAATAATAATAATGATAATAATAACGATGATAATATTAATAATGATAATAAAATAATAATTATGATAATAATGACAATAATAATTATGATAATGATGATAATTATTATGATAATAATTATTATTATTATGATAATAATAATGATAATAATAATAATAATTATGATAATGATAATAATAATAATGATAATAAAATAATAATAATAATAATGATGATAATAATAATAACAATGATAATAATATTAATAATGATAACGATAATAATAATGATAATGATAATAATAATGATGATAATAATAATAATGATAATAATAATAACGATGATTATAATATTAATAATGATAATGATGATAATAATGATAATAAAATAATAATTATGATGATAATAATAATAATGACAATAATAATGATGATAATAATAACAATGATTATGATAATGATAATAAAATAATATGATAATAATGATGATAATAATATTAATAATGATGATAATAATGATAATAAAATAATAATTATGATAATAATAATAATGATGATAATTATTATGATAATAATTATTATTATTATAATAATAATGATAATAATAATAATGAAAATAATAATGATAGTAATAATAATCCACTAAATGTTTATAATCATGAATCAGTTTTCAGTGTTTCCTCTCCATGTAACACAGGGACTCGTCAAAATAAAAGCCCAAACTTTACAATGAAGGTTCTTAAAGAACATAAAGCATGAGATAAATTCATATGAAAATATTTAGAGCTTATATCGGAACATCAAACCATCATCAGTTTGACATTCATTAAAATATCCAAATTGACTTTATTTTGAAAAGCCAGCAGCGGTTCCTGCGCCGCGTGAAGAGAACTGGAGGAGGGTCTGAAAACGACCCGAAAGTTTCTGGTTCTGCAGAAAACGGATGAAATTAAAGCTGCAGCTGGACCGGCGACCGACCCGTTTCAGTTTCAGGCCCTTCATGCTTCCAGACGATGACCTCAAACCCGACCGCCGCATTTTGAACGTAGACGTCCGATTGGATGACGGGTTGCCGTGGTTACCTGAGCGGGCTGTTCTCCCGACTCCCTCCCTGCTCTGGGCCATCAGCTCCAGCATGGCGTTTGAACGACGCCTTGTCGTTGTAGAAGACGACCACGTCCTCGCCGGCGTTGGTCAGCTGAGACACGGGGACAGCGTGAGGAGGAAACACGGACACGGCGCGTGGCGCTGCGGCCAGCGCTGCGGCGCGTGACGCTGCGGCACGTGGCGCTGCGGCGCGCTGCGCTGTGGGGTGGAGCCTCACCTCGGTCATTATCATGTCCTGGCACTTCTTAACGTACTTCCCCTCGGCCTTGATGATGGTGTGCAGGAAGTTGAGGTACTGGACGTGGCGTCCGTGCGTCGCCAGGCAGTGGATGAAGTGCTGCAGCACGCTCTCCGAGATCTCGCTGCACAGCTGGTTTGTTGCTGAAGATGTGCTGCACCGTCTCAGCCTCCTGCAGCTGCAGCAGCAGCAAAACAACAGCTGGAGGTCAACAGCTGGAGGTCAACAGCCAGAGGTCAACAGCTAGAGGTCAACTAGAGGTCAACAGCTAGAGGTCAACAACTGGAGGTCAACAGCTAGAGGTCAACAGCTAGAGGTCAACAGCTGGAGGTCAACAGCTAGAGGTCAACAGCTGGAGGTCAACAGCTGGAGGTCAACAGCTGGAGGTCAACAGCTAGAGGTCAACAGCTAGAGGTCAACAACTAGAGGTCAACAGCTAGAGGTCAACAACTGGAGGTCAACAGCTAGAGGTCAACAGCTGGAGGTCAACAGCTGGAGGTCAACAGCTAGAGGTCAACAGCTAGAGGTCAACAGCTGGAGGTCAACAGCTGGAGGTCAACAACTGGAGGTCAACAACTGGAGGTCAACAGCTAGAGGTCAACAGCTAGAGGTCAACAGCTAGAGGTCAACAGCTGGAGGTCAACAACTGGAACTCAACAGCTAGAGGTCAACAGCTTGAGGTCAACAACTAGAGGTCAACAGCTGGAGGTCAACAGCTGGAGGTCAACAGCTAGAGGTCAACAGCTAGAGGTCAACAGCTGGAGGTCAACAACTGGAGGTCAACAGCTAGAGGTCAACAGCTAGAGGTCAACAGCTAGAGGTCAACAGCTAGAGGTCAACAACTAGAGGTCAACAGCTGGAGGTCAACAGCTGGAGGTCAACAGCTAGAGGTCAACAGCTGGAGGTCAACAACTGGAGGTCAACAGCTGGAGGTCAACAACTGGAGGTCAACAGCTAGAGGTCAACAGCTAGAGGTCAACAGCTGGAGGTCAACAACTGGAGGTCAACAGCTAGAGGTCAACAGCTAGAGGTCAACAACTAGAGGTCAACAGCTGGAGGTCAACAGCTGGAGGTCAACAGCTAGAGGTCAACAGCTAGAGGTCAACAGCTGGAGGTCAACAACTGAAGGTCAACAGCTAGAGGTCAACAGCTAGAGGTCAACAGCTAGAGGTCAACAGCTAGAGGTCAACAACTGGAGGTCAACAGCTGGAGGTCAACAACTGGAGGTCAACAGCTGGAGGTCAACAGCTGGAGGTCAACAGCTAGAGGTCAACAACTGGAGGTCAACAGCTAGAGGTCAACAGCTAGAGGTCAACAGCTAGAGGTCAACAGCTAGAGGTCAACAGCTGGAGGTCAACAACTGGAGGTCAACAGCTGGAGGTCAACAACTGGAGGTCAACAGCTGGAGGTCAACAGCTGGAGGTCAACAGCTAGAGGTCAACAGCTGGAGGTCAACAACTGGAGGTCAACAGCTGGAGGTCAACAACTGGAGGTCAACAGCTGGAGGTCAACAGCTGGAGGTCAACAGCTAGAGGTCAACAGCTGGAGGTCAACAACTGGAGGTCAACAGCTGGAGGTCAACAACTGGAGGTCAACAGCTAGAGGTCAACAGCTGGAGGTCAACAGCTAGAGGTCAACAACTAGAGGTCAACAGCTAGAGGTCAACAGCTGGAGGTCAACAACTGGAGGTCAACAGCTAGAGGTCAACAGCTAGAGGTCAACAACTAGAGGTCAACAGCTGGAGGTCAACAGCTGGAGGTCAACAGCTAGAGGTCAACAGCTAGAGGTCAACAGCTGGAGGTCAACAGCTAGAGGTCAACAGCTAGAGGTCAACAGCTAGAGGTCAACAGCTAGAGGTCAACAACTAGAGGTCAACAGCTGGAGGTCAACAGCTGGAGGTCAACAGCTGGAGGTCAACAACTGGAGGTCAACAGCTGGAGGTCAACAACTGGAGGTCAACAGCTAGAGGTCACATATCCTCAAACCCAACTGAACCCAATCAGGCGTCTGAGCAGCAAAAAGCTGTTTATGCTCCCAATGAAAGGTTAAAGGTCAACCAGCCCATCTCGAATTTAACAGAATTGATGTTGAATTTGAGCAAAAAGACTTTTTATCATTTTAAAGACATTAATAAAACATTTCTAGAGGTCATCAGAGGTCAACCCTCTGCTGCGTTTGTGCTGCTGTTGCTCTGAAGGCATCAATGGTGACCTCTGTTGACCTTTAGACCGGCAGCACACAAACCTTCACAACCCATGGGTCAGAACCAGAACTAGAAACAGAACCAGAACCAGCAGCTCGATAAGGTTCTGGAAGGCGTGTCTGCGCACCCCGGGGTTCAGGAACAGGCTGAGGTTCTTGTGCAGCAGCGCCTGGTTCTCCTGGTTCCCAGGCAGAACTTCTGCAGAAACATGTGAGTGAATCTGATGATCTCCTGCATTTTCACGTCGTTCTGCACAGACGGGAAGAAAAGGTCGGATTTGTAGACAGGAAGTGAACCACGCCTCAGTGCTTTTATTGTGGCGGTCCGGGCCGCCGCACCTTGTCGTAGGAAACCTGCAGCAGGTCCAGCATGACTTTATGAGCTCCCATGTTCTTCAGCAGCCGCTGCTGCTTCTTCAAGGCTCCAGAGCTGCACATTTTATTGAGCCGCTCCAGAATCTGAGGAGGACAGAAGAAATGAGCTGCTGCTGCAAACAAACATGAAACCATCAGAAAGCAGAAAGAAATTATCCATAAAATAGAATCCTCATTTATTCTTCGATCAATAATCCTAAATCATAAAACATGGATTATCTAAAGTTTTAATTTCAGCTCAAACTTTATTTCCTCAAAAATAATTTTCTGTTTTATTATTCAAAACCATTGATCTTCAGATTAAGGTCGGATTCATTCTTGATGTAATTTCAACATTTCTATTTTATATATTGATTACATATTGATCCGGTGATCAATGGAAATGATCACCTGAAGAATCGCGTCTGATCGGCTGACAGAAGAGAACGTTCTCACCTCTTTGACGTTCTGGTAGTTCTCGTTTCCTGTCTGCTGCTTCTCTTTCTTTGGCGATGGGTCCTCTGACGCCCCCTGCAGGATGCAGAGGGTACAGCAGGTTGTGATCGCGGCGGCATCAGGGAAACATTTCAATTATTTCAGCATCAAATCACAGAAATGCCTGAAACCCTCAGGCTGACCTGATTGGTCAGAGAATTGGTCTAAAAATATTCATTATGAAAAATGAAGTTGTAAAATACAAGAATAAAGACAGAATGCAAACTAATGTAAGAATATGAGGACAAAGTCATAACAGTAACAAAATAACCAGTGAAGTCATAATATGGGAATAAACTCATAGAAATATGCAATAAAGTTGTAATACGTCCAAAAAAATCATAAAAATATTAAATAGGTTTAAAAAAACACAAGACTACAGTTTTTAAAAAACTAGAATAGTTATAAAACACATAATAAAGTCATAAAAATACAAGAATAAATAATTAAAATATCGAGACATTAAAGTTGGGCTAAAAACAAAACTGTAATAAAGTCATAATATTAGGAGAGCATGGATTCATATTTTTTATTCCAACATGAAATGTTACAAATAATATTCTTCATCATCATCAAAGTTTCGCCATCAGCAGGACTTTTTACCACATTCCTCTGGGAATATCCCATAATATCATAATGTCTGTGCTTCACTTTTCATCAAAACAAAGTAAAAGTTCTGATTTTTCACATGAAAAGATGCAAATAATTCCATATTTTATCCCGTTTTAACATCTTCTTGTTTTTGTGTTTCTGTAACATTGAAACTTTGATTTTTAGATGAAATATCAGAAAATTGAGTTTTATTTCAAAGAGCAGGAAGGAGGCGGCGGCTCTGCGATGGACGGATATGAAATGTTTTATTCAAGCTGTACGCTGATGATACTGTCGTTTTTATTTCCTTTGACATGTCAGAGAAGCAGGAAGCCGAGGCTCACATTATTTCGTCGCCCTGCAGTTCAACATGAACCAGATTTGAAATGAAGGAAATGTTCCCTTGTGATGTGGAGAAAATGGAAATGCGTCGTTTCTCACCTCCACCTTCTCCTTCTTGTCCTTCTTGTCTTTCTTCCCGTCTCCTCCACCTGAGCTCTTCTTCTCCACCCACAGCTCCGACTTCTCCACCAGCGTGCGGAGCCGATCCAGGTCGGCTTTGATCAGCTTGTAGTTTTCCACGTCCAGCGTGGAAATCAGCAGCTGCACCTGCAACCCGAACAGACTCAACGGGTCAACAGGAAACAGGAAGTCAGGACTGACAGTATGAGAATAAGAGACATAAAGTCACCTTGTTTCTCTAAAGAGGTTTGATCCAGTGAATCATAATCATGATTTTATATCTGCGACTCTAAATTACGATTTCCTGCTGGGCCTTTACTTTTTATTTCTTGGATGGAAATGAGTTTTTATGAAATAAACTTAAAAACAAAATAAACAAAAAAAACTTTTTACAAGTTTGTAAAAACTTGTAAAAAGTTGGGGACAGTTCTGTCCCCAACTGTCAGATTTATTTAAATCTGACAGTATTTAAGTTTAGAAAAGCTGAAAAGTGAAAAAAGTATTTTCTGCTTGGTTCAAACAATTAAATGAACCAAAATTACTCAAAATTTGCTTTTTTACATTTTATGATTTTCTTTCAGCTGATAATAATAATAAACAACTTGTGTGTCTGTAGTTTATATATTTTTAAGTTGCTTAAAAAACTTGGGTAAAATATTTTACACTTAAAATCATATCTGATGAATAAAATAAAAATAAAATTTATTCTTTGTTCTCTTTTAATTAAAAGCAATTTGAGGTAAAAATGTTCTCATTTTTATTCTCTTTCCACCTCAGAGTCCAGATTTAATCCAGATTTAGTCCAGATTTAATCCAGATTTAATCCAGATTTAGTCCAGATTTAATCCAGATTTAGTCCAGATTTAGTCCAGATTTAATCCAGATTTAATCAGCGGTGTGTTTTCCTGCTCTCACCTGTTTGAAGGTGTCCAGCACTTCCTGCCTCTGGCTGAAGTGCCTGAAGAGCAGCTGCAGCGCTCCGGACACCAGAGGGGCGTAGTTGTGCATCGTCAGATGGATCAGGACCCGCAGGAACATCCGGCCTCCTTCGTCGTCCACTTCCAGGACGCTGTTCATCTTCCTGTAAGACGCAACTCCTCAGCCAGCCGCATCAGAAGCAGCAACCAACATGGCCGACCACACCTACCCGACTCCAAACATGGCCTCCGCCTGGTCGCCGATCTGCTGCAGGTTGACGGTGGCTGAAGGAGGAGAAGCCGTCAAACGTCTCCAACATTGAACAAAGTCTTTCAAACTCACCTGCTTGTTCCACGTTGGTGGTGGCGTCAGCTTCAGCCATGGGATAAACGTCCAGGAACTCCTTCTTGAAGACGGACAGCAGGGAACAGACGGTAGTCCAGCCGCACGTTCAGGATGAACTGAGGGAGACCATGTTTGGAGTTACAGTTACTAATGTGAACAATATGAACAATGTTAATATTATGGATAATATGAATATTATGGATAATATGAATATTATGGATAATATTAATATTATGGATAATATTAATATTATGGATAATATTAATATTATGGATAATATGAATATTATGGATAATATTAATATTATGGATAATATGAATATTATGCATAATATTAATATTATGAATAATATGACTGGTGGTGGACCTAAAATGTCAGGTTCTGTAATTAATTAATATAATTTAATCTAAAACTATATATCAATAAATTAGGCAAAATTTTCAAATCAAACCACTTTTTGCTGCTAAATTGTTGAATAAACGACGTCTGAACTTTGTTTTTTACTGAAATTTATTTATAGTTTCATTTTCAGGATCTTCAATAATGAAATTGGAGGAAAATTCATCTTTCCAGAGTTTCTCTGATGGTTCATGGAGATTCTTTAGAAATGGAGAAATGTGACATTAGCATTAGCTGCTACATGTTTAGCATTGAGATGCTATTTTAGGCTAACAAAGCTTTGCTAACAGGCTAACTCCTGTCACCACACAGCAAGTGTTTTCCAGCAGCAGATCGTTTCGCCCAGAGGAGTCGCTGCTATCGCCATGTTAGCGGATGTAGCGTGTGCGTCAGATTTACCGGCTTACCAGAAACACACAAATGCAAAGGTTCCAGCTTGAGACTTTTGTATGTAAAAAAAACTAAATAAAATTGTAACTAGACACATGACTTGTATATATAATTACTACACTGACTAATTTTCACTGTGTTGGTGCAGATTGTAAGTGCTCTCATCATTAGTGAACTGAAGTGAATGAATCATTTAAATAAATCATTTCCTGACCTGTAAAATCTCCAGGATCTTCAGCTTGGTGTCCATCACCGTTAGATCCAGATTGTCGATGGAATCCTTGCTGCCTCTCTGTCCTTCCAGCACGAACCCGGCCCCCCTCGGCCCGGCGCCGCTGAACGTGGACTGCCTCCGGTTGAGGACCATGGTGGACATCATCTGGCCCATCCCATGGATGGTGCGCCTCACGTTTCTCCCTGAGGAAACAAACCACAACCAGCTCTAAATACTGCTGAGGAACCGACAGCAATATTTCCTTTAGCAGAGGTCGACAGATGTCCCAACGGGGTCCATCTGTCTCTAACGGGTCCATCTGTCTCTAACAGGGTCCATCTGTCCCCAACAGGGTCCATCTGTCTCTAACGGGTCCATCTGTGCCTAACGGGGTCCATCTGTCCCCAACAGGGTCCATCTGTCTCTAACGGGTCCATCTGTCCCCAACAGGGTCCATCTGTCTCTAACGGGTCCATCTGTGCCTAACAGGGTCCATCTGTCTCCAACAGGGTCCATCTGTCTCCAACAGGGTCCATCTGTCCCCAACAGGGTCCATCTGTCCCCAACGGGGTCCATCTGTCTCTAACAGGGTCCATCTGTCCCCAACAGGGTCCATCTGTCCCCAACAGGGTCCATCTGTCTCTAACGGGTCCATCTGTCCCCAACAGGGTCCATCTGTCTCTAACGGGTCCATCTGTCCCCAACAGGGTCCATCTGTCTCTAACGGGTCCATCTGTCCCCAACAGGGTCCATCTGTCTCCAACAGGGTCCATCTGTCCCCAACAGGGTCCATCTGTCTCTAACGGGTCCATCTGTCTCTAACGGGTCCATCTGTGCCTAACAGGGTCCATCTGTCCCCAACAGGGTCCATCTGTCTCTAACGGGTCCATCTGTCCCCAACAGGGTCCATCTGTCTCTAACGGGTCCATCTGTCCCCAACAGGGTCCATCTGTCTCCAACAGGGTCCATCTGTCCCCAACAGGGTCCATCTGTCTCTAACGGGTCCATCTGTGCCTAACAGGGTCCATCTGTCCCCAACAGGGTCCATCTGTCCCCAACAGGGTCCATCTGTCTCTAACGGGTCCATCTGTCTCTAACGGGTCCATCTGTGCCTAACGGGGTCCATCTGTCCCCAACAGGGTCCATCTGTCTCTAACGGGTCCATCTGTCCCCAACAGGGTCCATCTGTCTCTAACGGGTCCATCTGTCCCCAACAGGGTCCATCTGTCTCTAACGGGTCCATCTGTCCCCAACAGGGTCCATCTGTCTCTAACGGGTCCATCTGTCCCCAACAGGGTCCATCTGTCTCTAACGGGTCCATCTGTCCCCAACAGGGTCCATCTGTCTCCAACAGGGTCCATCTGTCCCCAACAGGGTCCATCTGTCTCTAACGGGTCCATCTGTGCCTAACAGGGTCCATCTGTCCCCAACAGGGTCCATCTGTCCCCAACAGGGTCCATCTGTCTCTAACGGGTCCATCTGTGCCTAACGGGGTCCATCTGTCCCCAACAGGGTCCATCTGTCTCTAACGGGTCCATCTGTCCCCAACAGGGTCCATCTGTCTCCAACGGGTCCATCTGTCTCTAACGGGTCCATCTGTCCCCAACAGGGTCCATCTGTCTCTAACGGGTCCATCTGTCCCCAACAGGGTCCATCTGTCCCAACAGGGTCCATCTGTCTCTAACGGGTCCATCTGTCCCCAACAGGGTCCATCTGTCTCTAACGGGTCCATCTGTCCCCAACAGGGTCCATCTGTCTCTAACGGGTCCATCTGTCCCCAACAGGGTCCATCTGTCTCTAACGGGTCCATCTGTCCCCAACAGGGTCCATCTGTCTCTAACGGGTCCATCTGTCCCCAACAGGGTCCATCTGTCTCCAACAGGGTCCATCTGTCCCCAACAGGGTCCATCTGTCTCTAACGGGTCCATCGTGCCTAACAGGGTCCATCTGTCTCTAACGGGTCCATCTGTCCCCAACAGGGTCCATCTGTCCCCAACAGGGTCCATCTGTCTCTAACGGGTCCATCTGTGCCTAACAGGGTCCATCTGTCCCCAACAGGGTCCATCTGTCCCCAACAGGGTCCATCTGTCTCTAACGGGTCCATCTGTGCCTAACGGGGTCCATCTGTCCAACAGGGTCCATCTGTCTCTAACGGGTCCATCTGTCCCCAAACAGGGTCCATCTGTCTCCAACAGGTCCATCTGTCTCTAACGGGGTCCATCTGTCCCCAAACAGGGTCCATCTGTCTCTAACGGGTCCATCTGTCCCCAACAGGGTCCATCTGTCCCCAACAGGGTCCATCTGTCTCCAACAGGTCCATCTGTCTCTAACGGGTCCATCTGTCCCTAACAAAGTCCATCTGTCTCTAACAGGGTCCATCTGTCCCAACAGGGTCCATCTGTCTCTAACGGGTCCATCTGTCCCCAACAGGGTCCATCTGTCTCCAACAGGGTCCATCTGTCCCCAACGGGTCCATCAGAACCAGAGGGTGGTACCTGAGCTTTCCTCCTGAAACGGGATGCCGGTGTGTGTCGGGTTGGGTTTGCAGTCAATGATGCCCAGCAGAGTCCTGGTGAGTCTGAGCAGCTCAAAGAAACTGTAGAAACCAAAGTAGATCAAATGTCTGGCTAAACTCACCACCTGCATGAAGAGGGAGGACAGACCGGATAAGAGAGACAGCGGCCGGGTGGACTCTGATCGCCCAAGCAACGGGAAGAGGAGAGAAAAACCTCGTAGGTGAGTTTGTTTTTTTCCTCGTTGTGGAACGGAAGCTCATCGTTCAGGACGTTGTTCAGGTACTCCTCCATGAACACCATGGTGTTCGCAAAACGGTTCTTCTTGTTGTCTCTGCTGTCGTCCAGGTTGGAATCATAACTGAAACCAGAGACTGAAGATCAACAACTGAGTTTATAAGATCATCCGGATTTAAACGTCAAGATCTACTGACTCCTTGATGGTGATGGAGGTCGGGATCTCGGTCCAGAGTCGGGCGAACTTCACCGGCGTCACGAGTTCCTGAG